CCCGAAAAGAGTGCGTAAATGCTGTTTGTGGTCCTCTTCCGATTTAGAGAATACTAAAATGTCATCAATATATGCATAACAAAAGTCCAACCTATTGGTAACTTCGTCTATGAAGCGTTGAAAAGTTTGTCCAGCATTTCGCAATCCGAATGTCATAAAAGGAAATTCGTAAAGTCCGAATGGAGTGGTAATGGCTGTTTTGCATATATCGTCCGGATTAACAGGTATTTGATGGTAAGCCTTTACCAGATCGATTGTGGAAAATAGCGTGCAATTAGCCAGGTTGTGCGAGAAATCATGTATGTGTCTGACTGGATAGGAGTCTGGTATAGTTCGGGCGTTCAGCGCGCGGTAATCACCGCAAGGACGCCAGCTGTTCTCCCCTTTCGGTGCTAAATGTAATGGTGAAGACCACGGACTGCTTGAAGGTCTAGCGGTACCTGCCTTGACCATTTCCGCGAATTCCTGTTTGGCGATTTTTAGTCTACCTGGAGCTAAGCGGCGTGGGCGGCAGGCTATTGGCTGACCAGGTGTCGTAAGAATGTGGTGCACTGTTTGATGTTTTATTGTCCTGGGCAATCCGGTGGGACGTGTGATGTCCGGAAATTCTGCGAGAAGTGCAGCCCAAGGGGAAGTGTTGGCAACTGATTTTATGCTGCATTGATTTACAGAGGAAACCTTACCATTCACAGCCAAGCCTGTGACACCATCAATAAGACGTTTGGTACGGCAATCCGGCAGCAAGTGGTAGTATGCCATGAAGTCGGAACCAATGATAGGAGTACTCACGTCGGCGACAATAAAACTCCACGGGAAACTGCGTCGAAGTCCTAAATTCAAATTGAGATGGACCGTCCCGTAAGTTTTTATGGTACTGTTGTTGGCCGCGCTGAGGTCGTAATCGGTGGCATGGCGTCGTTCCCGTAGTAGCCGTTGAGGGTAACAAGATAAGTCGGAACCGGAGTCGACTAAAAATTGGCGTTTTGTTATTTGATCTGTAACAAACAGGCGGCTGCTCGGGTTCGGACAGTCTGTTGCCGCCGCTACTGACTGTCGTTGGAGTTTTCCTGATACTTGCAGGGAGCCTTACATTTGGCAGCCTTTTCTCCATAAGTGCTATGATACCAACACCATCCTTTGCCGTTAGTCAGTTCCACGTTTGAACGGTTACGTGACCTAGAGCGGGAACGTTGCGGGCGTTTAGCACATAATTCGCTTACCTGTTTTGCGAGTGCTTCAATGGCGGCTAAAACATCGAGTTCCTTTTTATTGTTCGTCGTGGCAACAGCATGGACGAATTGCGAGGGGGCTGGCTGCACTTCAACAATTTTGTCAGCCAGCTCGGCTACCTTATCCAGAGGAAGCTCTGATTGTGCGGTTAAAATAGCTTGTGCATGTGATGGTAGACGGCGGAGCCAAAGTTGACGTAAAATATTGTCTTGTAATGTAGTAGTGCCGGCAAGGGAACGGAGATGTCGTAAGAACTGTGATGGCTTACGGTCACCTAGTTCTTCTTCATTGATGAGTTGCCGCACACGTTGTTCTTCTGAGATAGACAACCGTTCAACGAGTTTTGCGCGTAGATGTTTGTAGCGTTCAGTAGGCGGTGGGTTAGTAATAATATCCTCTACTTCGGCGGCGTAACGCGTATCAAGCTGAGCCACAACATAATTAAATTTTGTTTCCTCACTTGTTATTCCCGAGATTGCAAACTGCGAGTCAACCTGTGAGAACCATAAGCTCGGTCTTTCGGACCAGAAAGGTGGCAACTTGACGGCAACGCGATTCACTGAAGCTGTTGGATATTGCTGTGCCTGTAGTGCTGCAAGGCGAGCGTTTTCTTGGCGTAACTCCTCCAATTGATTGCGTAGTTCTTCGGCGTTCATACTTGTTATCGTCGAGGTCACCAATGTAACGAGGTGTAATATATAGAAGTAATAAACACTTTTACGATTTAATAACAACTATACTATATTACAACGAACTAACAAATAACAGCGAGAGACGAAGCGCGTTTAAGACAAAATGCGTAAGTGATTGACTGGAGCGACGATCTTGCCCTTAAATAGTCAGAGGAATCTTCTAGAGGTGGCGGCGGAACTCTCTAGAACATTCGACCGCCACATCTTCAACTAGATACAATTTGTGATCTTTTGACGTATTGTTAAAAGAAATCGGTCCAGTGAGAGCTGAGAAAAAGTGGACATAATAAAAAAAAAAAAACACATCACAGTAAAATTAATACCTTCTCAGCTTCGCATCGAAGCTAAAATATATTTAATTTTTAATAAATTATGACAATTTTTAGAAAAAAATATCGAAATTTACTGATTTTAAAAATCATAATTTTTTAGAGGATTTCCACCATTTATAGGGAACGAGGGAATTTTTTTCAATTTTCGAAGGTAATGTCTTCGACTTGATACGATTTGTGATTTTTTGACATATCGTTGAGGAAAATCTGTTCAATGAAAGCTGAGAAAAAGAAATGACAGACACATATACAAAAATAAAAATAAACATATCATGATAAAATTAATACCTTCTCAGTTTCGAATCGAAGCTAAAAACGTATAACATTACAAAACCAATATACCTTATTAACTTCGCATTGAAGCTAAAATATAAGAACTAAATTAAGAATAAGATTTTGGTTTTATAATCTTTGTAATTAGTGTATATTTGAAAAATAAAAATGTTGTACAACAAAATAAAATAGTAAGTATATTAAAAAATCACTATATTAATAATAAGGTTTAAAAGTATGAACTATTAATAATAGATGGCTATTAGAGAGATAAGTAAGAACAATTTTTTTCATAAAATATCTTAAGCCCACGTAACATTGAATTTAGTAAATAAATTCACATTTAGTTGTTGAAAGTATAATACCTGAAAATATAAACAATTAAATTAGACAACATGCATGAAAATAAATGTAAATATCATTTGAAAAATTTAATTAAAAAAAAAGCAAGTTATAATCTCTTTATGTAGCTTTTATGCAAAGATGTGTTGGTGTAAACTTTACTATAAAATGCTTTTTATTAGATTTTAATATCAATGTTTTGCTACAAAAATCTTTTCCATTCACTTGATAAATTCAACATGTTTAAATCAATAAAACTTACATTTTCAGTCTTATTATAAAAATATGTTTCACACGATTTGTTATTTATCCAAGCATACTTGGGTACATCATTTACCCCAAATATGGTGATATTATGCAAAGTTACATTTTCATCTATATAATTATTAGTTATAACTTCACTAATTATGACTGAATTTTTGTAAGTAAAATGTACTTCATTGTATAAAGCGTTCTCCCATACATCTAAAAAATGAAATTCTTATTGTTTTCTCAAATAAATATAAAAAAAAAAGAGTTATGTTAAAATAATTAAATGTCTTTAATAGTGATGTTCGAACTGAACCGAACACTCTAAGTTCTGGTCGAAAATGGTACCTGAAACTTATTTTTTTGTAAATTGATTAGAAAAATCAAAGTAGTATATTTAGTTATCACACAGAATTTGTTAAATTGTGATATAAAAAATTTTTTTCTGAAAATTATTAAAATTGATGTTCGATTTCTTTTTAGTTGGATTAAAAAAGTTTGGTTCAACCCCAAAAATCATCCTAAAAATTGTTACATTACTAATTTTTCAAAATTTAAACTTACCTAAAGAATCTCCATCGTCCCAAAACAAGTACCCACTAGCTTCATTGCTTTTATCAGGCGTAACAATAAGACCAAAAGGATTTTTACGACTAAAAAAATATATATATATATTTATGAGTGATATCCAATTAGTAAGATTTTCTGTTTTTATAGACACTATAGGGTCAATCCATAACAAATGATCCAGATTGTTTGTGCGACCATTTTAAATTTTTTTGAAATTTCATACATGAGTTGCCTAGTATTTAAATAAAGAAAATGTCCAAAAAAAAAATGTTTAGTTTAAAGTAGACCTGTCATAATTTTGCAAAATACCGGTATTTCTTAAAAATATCATCACTTTTTCATTATGCTGTCTTCTAACATGTCCAGTATTTAACAATAGAATTTTTATTTTATTTTTTAAGTATAATTTTAGAAAGGTATTTTTTTTGTTTTTGTAAAAAAACGATATTTTAAAAATTAAAATTAATGATGAAATAATTTTTTTTTAATCAAAATTTTTTTATCATATTAATATTATTCAGTATTATAATTTAATTATATTTTGAAGTTTTTTACTTTAGCCTTTTTTTAGTAACACAATTATAAAAAAGTTCAAATTTCTAAAATAACGATTTTTAGGAAATTTTAATTTAGATTTTCTTCAGTGGGACAGAAAATTAAATCATAAAAATTTCACACAACATTGTTACACTTGTTGACTTTCTATGGTAAAAATTTCAACTTAGGTATTTTACCGAAACCAAGATAAAATTAGCTTTGAAAAATCCCTTTCTTAAAATTTATTATGTTGTAAATTATTGAAAACACTGAAATAGGTTATTACTTTGCAATTTAAATTAGTCAATCAAAATTAAAAATTGGTAGATCTAAATTTTGTGCACATAAACCACAAAATATTTCTGAATATCAGTATATTATAGAATACTATAAGGAATATAGTTCTGAATATTTCAATTGTTCAATTTCAATCTATGACCAATATGCCAAAAGAACACATTTTAATGATGTTAAACTTATAATCACAAAATATTGGAAAAAAAAATCCTTTTGTTGTAAACTAGTGTTATTATTAAATTTTGGAACTTTGAAGTGACAAGCAGAAAAATATAAAAATTTGGAAAATTATGAAACATAATATATTACAAAAACATTACTTAAATGAGATTACCCCATATTAAATGTTGGACAGACATTTCACTTACATTATGTATACAAGTTAAATAATGAATGTGTAAAATAATAAATAATAAAGCTTTCATGGATTGTCTTGTTGCTTGAAGTGCTTGAGGATATATCCATGTTTGCAGTTGAGTTCTGACGTATCGGACTCTTTGCAGAAACCATCTTCAACTATACTGTATAGTTGCAGCCACCGACTAGCAACCATCACTCTGAAGATTGACCCTGCAATGATTCCGAAATGTCAGAACTCAACTGCAAACATGGATATATCCTCAAGCACTTCAAGCAAAAAGTTAAATAATGTATTATTTTATAATGGTATAAAATATTATCTTTTTAACATATTATTATAGTTTAAACTTTATACTTCTTTAGGTTCTAAATTACTGATTTATTACTGTACCTTAATTTAGTTGTGGTAGCTGGAACTTGGGTAGGTAATACATAACCACCACGTAATAAAAGTGGTATAGTATCTGGTGGTGCTGGTAGAGTGAATACACTTCCATTACTAATGATAATTTCTTTAGTATAATAATCATACCATAAATCATTTGGCAAATAAATATTGACATGTATTTCATCCTAAATGAAATTCAATTAATAAATGTATGGACAAAATAAGAACTTCGTGAATTATGCCTCTAAAATAAATAAAGCACATAGCACTTTCTTACATTATTACTATAATCTGATTTCAATTAAAAATTTTGAGGGAATAATATTTTCTTCTCAGATCAATTTGTAATTGGGAAACCAATATTAAAATATAAGAAGTCATTTGAATGTCTGGTTAGCAAGGGAATTTATTTTTACCTACAAATAATTGAAATTTATTTCTAACCCACTAAATTTTTAAACTTTTGCATAAATCAATTTCTCTATACAATCTTTCAAAATAATCACAATAAATATCAAGTTAAAATTAAAATTTTATTTTATTAATATTACTAGGAAAACAAGTATTAAAAGTTTCTAAAAATAATATTGAAATAAGAATTAGTGAGATAGTAAATAATAGCCAAATCCAAATCAGGAAATAGAAGCTTAAGTAATCCTGCATAAATATAAAGATGTACTTACTTTTGATAATACAGGACAAATCATTAAAGCAGAACCCCATAAAAATTGTTTATCAATTTCATAAGTATTTTCATCATAAAAATATCTAAAATAAAAATAATCTGTTAATTATTTTTTTGTTAAATTACATGTTATACAGGATAATCTAAATTTAATTTTAGAAAATTATTAGGATTTACAAACATATCTAATCAATTTCATGCAAATTTTTATAGTTATTTTAATTAACCTACACATGCATACAGTATTAGGTAATAACATACTAAAGTTACTTGTTTTTGTAACAAAACTTCTTTATAAGTATCGTGTTGGCGACTTAAATACGCCTGTAATAAATTAACTAAAAATATAATGAAATTACTTATAATAAATAATATATTGAATATTACGCATTATTGTGTTTACTGATTATATTTTGAAGAAAAAAAAATATATTAGTTCAAAAATTATCTAGTCTGTAGAAGTATATAACCAGGGCGAAATTAGGAGTCAATAATTTGATTTCCTTGTGAATTTGATCATATTTATTTATATTATATCTTTTATATTTATGTTTAATATTCTTTTAAAGAGTTATTAATTGTGCTAGAGAGGACAAGAAAATCTACATGATTTTCTGGAACGGAATCAAACTTCAGTACCTCCATATGGCATATTATTAACTGAGCTAGGTTGTCTTATATGGTTTTGATAAGATTACCATTTTGAGTGTAACCACAATTACTGCATATTAGTAGTAATAGGTATCCCTTTGTATGTTTCACACTAGACTTATATGTTGTGTAAGTAAGTGGCGTTTGAAACCACCATTACAAAAATACTTCACTTGTAAAAAAGGTTTGATTGAAAGATTATTTATTCAACCATTCCCCTTAAATTATCCATATCTACACCCTTGGCTGTGTATATAACTTTTTACTGTATATAATTTACTGTGTATAATTTTACTGTGACATTGCAGCTTATAACTCATATAATTTTTTTTACCTCCTAAGAAATAATTTTTTATATTATCCGTAAAAAAAAATAATGTACGAGTAATTTAGTTACAATACCATAGTAACATATGGTAATGTCACTACAACTATAAAATAGTAACTAAAAAGTAATTTTATTACAAAATTCTAAGTGAATAGAAATGTAATTTATTGCTAATAAAAAGTAACTTACTCAACTCTGCATACATAAATAATTAAATTGTTATTTAATATTATATAATATATAATTGATAATTGAACTTACTCAAAAAAAAGTGGACGAACAACTGTTTCTCCATAGATATGTGCTTTCCAAAATAATGAATATAAATATGGTAATAATGAGTAGCGTATCATTAACGCTTTGCGAGCTGATTCTACAACTAACTGTCCTAAAGATACTGGATCTTGATCCTTAATAATATGAAAACTTATTAGGTAAACTGTGTTAAACTAAAGCAAAAATAGTAAATTTGTTCTACATAAAAATATTTATACAATCTTAGACAACGTTGAAATCATATTTTAGCTTTGATGTAAAAATGATAAAGTATTAATTTTACTATGTTTATTTTTATCTGACACAATTTTTTTTTAGCACTCCCCAGATTAATTTTTTTTAACAATAAGTCAAAAGATCACAAATCATATCTTATTAACTGCCTTCAAAAATGGAAAATATTTTCCTCATTCAACTGTAAATGGGAGAAAGGAACTAACATATAATAGGAAATATAGGTATAGCATCAATTGTAGATAAGATGAGAGAAAATAGATTTAGATGGTTTGGTCATGTTATGAGAAGAGAGGAAACGGAAGCTATGAGAAAAATTATAGAAATGAATGTTGAAGGAAAAAGAGGTAGAGGAAGACCAAAATAGAGATGGAGGAATGTAATTGAATGTGATATGAGGACGGCTGATGTGAGCATTTATAATATGGGAGATTGTATCAAGTAGAAGTTTAGGATAAGGGTGGCCGACCCCAAGTAGTTGGGAACGGCCCCAGAAAATAAACAAAAAATGTTATTTAGGTATAAAAAATCACCATCTTTTGTGTTATAATTTTCTATCTTAATTTTTAATTTAAATTATTTTGTCTATATTTTATGTCAAACATAAAAGACGTCTTTTACAAAAAAATAATTATTATTAAAAGATAAACAAAAAAAATAAAACAAATATTTTCAGGGAGAATTTTGAAACTTCTAGTGTTAATTCAAATACATATTAAAAGGAGGCTGCCCTTCTTTTTATAAAATTTTATAGCTACCAATAGCTTATGATAAATCGAAATAACCAAATACAGGATGATTATTTGAATAGCCACTCAATATATCATAAAATAATAATTAAATTATTTTAAGAAAATAATTTTTGACTATCTTATGTATTACCATATCATCTAACACAATTTTTTTTAATTTTAACCTTTAACCAATTTAAAAAGGGTATTCAAAATAGTAATTATGCACAAAAAGTAATTTAAGAAATACTGATGATATATTTTAATATATGGACTTTGAAAATCAATTTGCTATGTGACCCACCATCTACAGATTTGCATTAAATTTTAATCACTGTCAGATATCATTTATACTTGTTACAACTATGCCACATCATCATTATGGTATGTTTTTTTTTATCATTTGTTTTAATAAAAAAATATTAATTATTATTTATTTTTTTATGATTTTGATATATTTAATTTTATAACTTTATTTTACAAAAATGATTATTGGATCAATAACAGTTTTAGGAGAAGTAATTATTATAATGTTATACTACTATAACTCATCCTCTACTGCGTTACATCCCACTCTATGTATTAAAATATTTATAATTTAATAATTGGTTATTTTAAAATTGTTGTCAATCCATTAATTATTTTTGTAATAAAAGTGTTTAAAATTTTGCTCTTTATTATCCATTTAACCCTTGTATAATAAACAACTAATCTAAAATAACTAAAATTTGTTTGGTGGCTTTTAAAATGTTAATGATTTTTTATATTTACAATACAGCCTTCTGAATTATGATTCCTTGAAAATGGGTAAAATGCACCTAATTGACTCCATCTTGAACACAATTCAACTGTAGTATTTCCATTAAAGCCACAAATATCTGCACCAATTAATGGAATTCCAAACATGTTAAAAACTATAATGTCTAAAGAAAAAAAATTGAATTAAATCATATTTAATAAAATATTAAAATAAAAAATGAATTACCAGTTATAGACTGACTCATATCATCCCATGTAGAGAATACATCTCCAGTCCAATGACCAGCAAAGTGACCAAAGCCAGAAAAACTTGATCTTGATAATACAAAGGGCCTTGTATTTCTAATAGTTGTTAAAGCACTAAGAAAGAAAATTTAATTTATTTTGATGTAAGTTAACAATAAATAATAATAAAAAAAAAAGAATTTACAATTACTCCTTTTGTTACATTTATTTCAACTAATCCTAGTTGTCGTAAAATAATTTAAGTACATCTTAATAGATACTTACAATTGAGTTATTATTGCTTCTGTAAATCCATAAAGGTTGTGTAGATCATAATGACGCCCACTATGTTGTTCAGCAGACATGCAAATAGTTTTGTACTTTAAAACACCACCTTGAATATTAGGAATATACTGAGGATTTTCCCAGTTATAAGAGTCATTAAAAGCACAACCTTGCCAATCTCCATTTACAAAATTTGAAGGTTCATTCATATCCTATAATTACATTTTAAATAATGTTAGAAAATATCTTCAATTTTTATTATAATTAATGTAAGAAATAAACAAACAATCCATAAGCCATCATAAGGGACAAGATTATGATATCTTGAAAGTTGATCAATCCAGTAGTTTACAATCTTAGGGTTTGTAAAATCTGGAAACACTGTACCTCCATCTCTATTCCATACCTTTAAATTATAAAATAGTATATAAATATATAACAAATGTAATTTATGGAATATTTAATACAATAAAAAAAATGTATTTGTGTAACATGCTATCACTTCCTATTACAGTGGTTATCATAGAAGGGCAATATTACTAAGTCTTATATTCCTATCAAAATCCCACAAAAAACTACCACACCTAGGCTAACAGTCACCTCTGTTGAACTTTTACTTCGTCTTTTCTTCTATAACTATTTAAGCAGACAAGTTAGCCTGTTTAGCCTATTTACTTAACAAACAGTTACTGATAATTAACAACATAAAGTTTCTGTTTTCATTAGATAAAACACATTTATAATTCATTTACATCACACCACTTCTCTACTGCATAAAAACAACAATTTATACTGTTATATCCAATAAAATTTTTAAATTTATAAAATTATTTGATATTAATAAAATTAATATCAACATCTTTGTCTTTTCATGAAGATTAATAAATATATAAAAAAATTAAATATACAATTGTATATATTATTAATCATCTATTACCTATATTTATTTATTTTTAAAAACAAAGAAACTTACATTTTCCATAATAAATAAAACACTTATTTAATTTGGTTTTAATTTGTGATATTTAAAAATATACATATAAAATATGAAATGGCTAAAAATCTGAACCATGTCATTTGTTATTAAAAAAAAAAAGATTCAGAATAAATGAAATTTTGTTATAAAAATTAAAAAGACTAATAAGATAAAACTATATTATAATTATAAGGAGAGTATTGAAATGGACCACTAGATTAAAGTATGAGATGCTGCTCTCCAATTAAGAACTTAAACATAAAACAAGTGACAATACTCCCTTTTAATTTTTAGACAATAATTTATAGTAGAAAAAATTAGCATTACTTGGCCTTCTAATGGTAGACCTGAAGAATTTTTAATGAAAATTTCTTGTTTTAAACCCACATCATAGGGAGGATAAGTGCCATTTGGTTCTCTAGAAGAAACACCTGGATCAAGTAAAAGAACACTATGCATTCCAATCTAAAACAAAAAAATACAAAATAAAACAATTTATATTAATAAACAACAGGAATAATATAGACTAACAAAATATAATTATATTGATATAATTTATTTTTTTGTAATTTTCAAAATTTTAATAGAAAAGTATAAAAATATTGCAGTGTACCTTATGTAAATAATGCACATAATCAGGAAGTTTAGCAAAATCATCACTTAAAGTAAAATCATTTCTGTTTTTCATGTAATCAATATCATTCCAATGTGTATCCTTATAATCAAAACACAAATCATAATTAATTAATATTAATAAATAATTTTAATATTACCCAAGGGATTCCTGCATTTATTGTCTTGTTGTGCACTTCTATTAATTGGGAAAATGTCTGTCCGAATCTGAAGATTAAAACAAAATGTAAATATATAACATTTTTAACTATAAGATAATAGTGGATAAAAATATAAAAAATACAAAGAAAAATTTATATTACTCCAATTTTTTGTTTTTTGTTGGACCATTCACACATTCATTTTGGGAAAGGAGATATTACGTTTATACAAAATTACTTGTTTTGTTCTCTTAAACATTTATTCTTTTTTTATCTTTTAAAATGAAATGGTTAACATTAACATAACATGTACAATGAAGTATAAATGCTCATATATGAAGTGTTTAAGACTTTTTAAAAGGACTTGTATTATACATGATAAAAACTTTTATTACCATTACTACTATTCGAAAGAAAAATTTATCTTTAACATATTATTATCATTATGAGAGAACTTTATCTTTATCCTTTCTCACTGGGTTTGTCTTTGATCTTAATAACATTTAAATTTTAAAATATTCATTGAAAATTTTTGAAAATATGTATCTAAATATTAGGAATGAGCATTATTTAAAATGTTAGTCAATATTAATTATATGGAAAAATCAGATATTTTTTTTAACCTTCAAGCAGGTGTGTCTTATTTTTATAACACGAGCTGGCAGGCGTTATAAAATGTGGTTATTTTAATTATGCAAAAGAATATCAAAATTATTTTCTCAAAAATACTTAATACTAATAGTTTTCATTAATTAGTTATATTAAAATTCCAAAAAAAGTAAACATTTTTATTAATTGACTTGATAATGAAGTAATTTATTATAAATTTTAGTATTATTATGGGCGGAAGGAGGTATTTACCTCTAAAACAAAAAAACATTTTATGCCTTTGTCAGTACATATAACAAATTTAGATCTTTTCAAAATGACTTAAACAAAATGTATAGATCCATCCATCAAATAATCATTTTTTAAATATGAAATAATTTCTATTATTTATTTTAAAAAATAGTTTATTATTTAGTATAACTTGTAATATTGGATGTTAAAAAACAGTATTGATAAAAAATTAATGAGAAGTAATGATAAATTAACAAAAGAACTATTTGTTGACGATATTTAAGTCATAGTACAACACAAAACTTATTTTTAATTAATAAAGAAAAATTCATTAAAAAAAAAAATTTCAAAATTAGCTTCAAAATATGTAATATTACTAACCGACACAGATGAAATCCTAGGGACCAATAAGGGGGCAAAAAAGGTCGACCAATAATTTCAGTATATTGTGTAATAACTTCAGCTGGTGTTGGGCCTAAGAAATAATAAAAATCCAGTATTCCACCAATTACTCTAAATGTTATTGCAGGTGTTGGTTGTAAAATAACATCTAAATATATAAAAAATTAACATTAATTAAACCATTCATTTATTCTATTGAGTTAATGATAATGAAAATAAATATAGACAACTATAATATATTAACAATATTATTAAATACATCAAACTTGATTACTCTTAACATTTTATATTTGTTATGTAATAATATTTTTTTATAACATTAATATAAATCTTTATCACATTAATAATTTTTTTTTTCATACAGTGTTTTACTTAACATGAATTACTTAATTAAAAAATAAAAAATAATAATTTTTTTATTGATTTCTTTTAATTTAATGTTTATTTCAATTTATCAATCATAAAGAATTTTTTATTTTCATTTTATATACCTTATAAGGGTGTCAACTTTAATTTTTCAAATGGTAACACACATAATTGACTAACTTATTTAATAGACATTGATCTAATTATGAAAGTGACTGGTTAATAACAATTTTTTGGCCTATATTTCAGAAGTTAATAATGGTTTAAAGTAATAACTGGAGGTAAAGGGTGGGTGTTACTATTTTTATAACTAGACATTTCCAGCTGTACTCTTCTTCCTACAAAGGTATAAACATGTCAATAACTTCTGAAACAGTGTTACAAATGTCTTATCGAACAAGTAATTTTCTTAATTAAATAAATATTTAAATAAATTAAATAAGCTAGCTAATCATGTTTATAGCTATATAAAAAATTTAAATGGACACCCTTATAAAGTATAAGGAATGAAAATAAAAACTTCTTTATGATTGACAAATTTAAATAAACATTGAATTAAAATAAATCAAAAAAATATTCATTAATATTTTAATTTTTTTAATTAGTGGTTCATTATAAATTAAACACACTGTACATATTTTAATAATGATATTAAGATACAAGTTATATACGCAATACACTATTTGTAATATTTTTTTACTTGTAACATTAAAATAATAAATACATTACCCATTGCATTGCTATTAAACAAAAATACTCCATGACTTTTCCCTGATTTTTCCATAATCAAATAAAATGGGTGAGATCCATACCCATTTATCTTTAAAAAATTATTTAACAAGTTTAATAATAATAATAAGATGATTTAATTGATCTAGATTCATATAAATATACAAATTTACATTATTAGTTGGAATACTATCGTGATTAAAAAGTGTATAAGTCTTCCAATTCATGTCTAAAGTTAAGTTAGATCTATGTTCACCAATACCATATATATATTTTGTAGGTAGCACAGCTGAAATTTGAATGAATTGATTTGAATAAATAAATCCTCCAACACTTTTACTATCAAATCTAATACAAATTACAACATTTATAAATAATATATTGATAATTGTTTTATGTTATTAATATTCTTACAGAACGACATTATCAATTTTTCTTATGACAGAAAACGCAACTTTAGATTTGTCCATACTAACTGTATATTCAGAATTTAATAGTTCTTTGTTTTTTTGTGTAGGTACTTCAGGGTATGGTGGTTCATATCTCTTATTTTCAGCATCAAATATCTTGAAATTAAGAAAAAAAGTTACAAAATTTTATAACTTAGCATAACAAAAAAATACTGTAATATACTTTTAGAGTATTTTATTATTTTCTAAGATACAAATGTTATTTTTTAAGTCAATTTTCTTTTTAAATAATTATGTTTTTTTATGATTTTATGAATAATTTCTAAAATATATTAAATAATTTAAAAACAATGTTATGACATGTACAGAATGTCCTAATCCAGTGGTCGGCAACCGGCGGCCCGTATCCGGCCCGCGTGGCTATTGAATACGGCCCGCTTTAAATTCTAAATCGACTAATTTAATTGAATATCATTAAGCATTTTACCAATACATTACATTCATACTTTCATATTATAATTATATTAAAAACTGTAATTTTTATTTTATACATTTTATTATTTTAAGTTTTAGATAGTATTTTTTTGCATAATAAATAATGTAATTATAAATTTTTTTTTTTTATCTGGCCCGCGAACTCCTTTTAATTTGTAAATGTGGCCCGAGAATTAAAAAAGGTTGCCGACCACTGTCCTAATCTATTCAGAAAAAATTTATAACTTTTATTCCACAGAATATATTTTATTACTTATAATAATGTATATAGCATGGAAGTATGTATTATAAATATACATCAGTATGAGCTGTTTCTACCTTAATTTTACACATCCACTAAATAAGTACTTAATAATAAAATGTACTTTTAACATAGTTCAAAACTGTAAAAATTACTTAAAAAAGAAAGTAATAAAATATATAGTGGATCAAAAGATATAGAATTTGCCAGACACAAATTGGGACATTCTGTACAAAATGTTTATGTCTGGGAAATAATGATATTTTTTGAGTAATTGAAGAAAAGAGATAAATACACTAATTAGAATCTTTAAGTATATTTTTGTAAGTAAATTAAAAAAAGCGAGTCATATATATATATATATATTTAAAAGTTTTGGCAAATATCAAAAGTAATTTTTTCATTGAGTCTATATTCTGTATTGAAGCTTCAAGTAGGGTTGAATTAGGACACCGAGATACCAGAAAAATTGTAGAATTCACAAATAACGGTACTATTAGGCAAAAGAAAAATTGACATTGCATTTATTTTATTTTCATCAAATATGAAGTATAGAAAATAGTGGACTAATGATAATAGAAATATAAGTAGATAAAGTAAAGGCAAATTTCCTACCTCGCTCAAATACTATTAAGGATATTTTAAATAAAAAATTTTTGTCATCTTGATAATAGGTAGGATAGGTAGAAACTTTATAAAATTTTATAAAACCTAAAAATGAATTATTTAAAGCAAAACAATTTTTTTTAATAAGAAAAGAAAGTTATGAATTAAAAAAAATTACAGTCAACAGCTAATATTATAAACGTTGGCACACTATGGACATAGTACAGTAGGGAAAATTCAAATTCGTTTCTCTTAAATTAGGAGGCAAAAATTTGAAATAAGTTTAAATTTATATTCAATTTAGGCTAGATTCATGTAACTTTTATACAAAAATCGGTGAACTCATTACTATGGTAAACTAATTTAAGGTATTTTAATATAAAAAAGTTATAGAAATATGAAATATAAATCGAGAATTTTAATACAAAAATAGTATATTTTTGAATACGGTAGTTTTTTTCAACATGACAACAATTTAGTTTGAAATTTTTTTTTCATATAAAAGTATATTACATAAACTTTAATTTAAGATATTAATAAGTGTCAGTATTATATGTTATATATTATCATTTTCAAAGGTTAAGTTCAAAAAGTTAATTTTTTGTGAAAAAGTTGCCATTTGAAACTACCTATGGGCAAGTAAAGGGTCAGATTTTCACAAAAAATATACCAAATAGGTAAATATCTAAGGTATCTTAAAAAAAATTATTTTGATTTGTTAATTTTTTAAAAAGTTTCTTAAAGTTTTAAGAAAAAAAGTTAAAAAAATGTTAAAATTACCAATTTGTAAAATTTACAAGGAACAAGAAAATTCTTTTCAATTTTTGAGGATAATGTCTTCAACTAGTTAAAATTTCTTTCAACATATCATTGAAAGATATTGATTTGATTAGGACTGAGGAAAAGTGGTGACACAAAAAAAAACACATCATAGTATAATTAATACTTTCTTAGCTTCGCATTGAAGCTAAAAATAATAAGAGGCTAAGCCTTTCTCGTAATAATTCAATTTTTATTTTTTAGTTTAATTATGATAAAGAAAATAATTTTGATTTCTTTTTTTTAAATTCCCTCAAATCATAATAAGTTGTATATAATATTAAATATACTAAGTAAATAGGTATTACCTTAATGTGTAATCTTTTAATTGTTTGGAAGGAAATTTCCACACATAATAACTTAATATCACTTGTATAGGTTGTATTATTTATTAATCTAAAGTATGACATTATCCCATTATTAGTTTCAGTCATATTTACTAATATATAATTATTATAGTTTTTTGGATAATAACACCATGGTGGTTTTGAGTTAAAATCAATTGGTGACCAACAACAATTTCTTTGTTCACAGCTATCTTGGTTAGCATTACCACGAGGAAAGCAATCAAATTTTTCAATGTCCGATGTTATAGAACAGATTTTATCTTCTAATTTTTTAGATAAATACCCATCATTTAGGGTTTTAATTTCTCTTTTTAAAAATTGACTTTCAAAAGTATTTTTTTCATATTCTTGAATACAAGTATATGAAAATGCAATTATTAATAAAATAGCAGCTAATACAGTGAATACTCGTGAACAATTATATGAATTAGATTTAATGATTTTGTTAGAACCACTAATAGAATTGTAATTGCAGAAATCAGACTTCAAAAATTGTTTGTTATTCATTTTTTCTTTAAGATATTTCATTTTAATCAAGAGAATTTAGTGTAAATCAAAATATGTAATTTTCAGTCTAACTAAATATCTTCACCTGAAAAATTGTAATTACAATTAGATAGCATTTATAACATTCAAAGACTAAAATTAGAAACATTAATAATAATTTTTATTTTTTAATACATACCATTTAATTAGAGCAATTATTTTACATATTTGATAGATTAAGAAAAAAAAATCATTAAACTATGCACTAATAATGGAAAAAAATTTAAATAGCTTTTATTTATTTGGTTATGCTACATAATCTGTTTACATTGGTATATTAAAGTTATTAAATTGTAAAAATTATCGAAGGAACTGGTTGGTCAAATTATCAAAAAAAAAAAAACAAATTATAAAAATTCATTGATAAGCATTTATCAAAATTTAAAAATAAATTATCGACATATCAGTTAATTTAAAGACATTGTTCTAAAGTCCAACTTCATCGACTAAATAAGCTAAAATTCAATCAGAAAGTACATGTTATAAAGATTCTCGTTTTAAAAAGTGTAACATTTTATAAAATTTAAATATGATTTCTATCATTTAAATTTTGTAACATGTTCGTGGTCAAAATTAAAACTACCTACAAGTTTATACTATTAAGGCTAAAAAGAAAGCTATTTCTTTTTTTATGATATCTTAGAAATGTTTTTGTGCTGATATGTTAAAAATTTCAGGCTTAATGTTATTAATAATTAGCGTCAGCAATCGTTTTTTCGAAAACGGTTGAAATATTAAAAAGGTTGCGGGAGAACGCCAAAAATATCTCGATCTTTGTCAATAATTTTCTAGTCTCGTGACCGAATACATTCGTTGATCAAAACAGGTTTTGAGATTTTCATGGCCTGATAATGCTCCGACATTTTAAAACAATCCGTCCAATACATTTATTCCGATAAGAATTACAGGTTACAAAAATTTGGATTTTACTAAGACGATAATTAATCCGAATAGGACAATAATTTGCTCCCAAATCGTTATTTTGAGAAATCGGTTGATAAGATTATCAAATGTTGGAGTAGACAAATATCGTTGCCATATAAATAACACAAAATAGTGTTAAAATTGTTTACTATTTATTGACATATATTTATTATTATTAACACCTTCGAAATATATCCGACTTTCGAAATAATAGGTATTTTAGGGTAAGGAAGAGGGTTTTAAATTAGAACAACATCAATTATAAAAAAAAAGTTTTTTTATTATTTATTAATTAAATATAATTTATAATTTTAACGCGTATCCAATATATATAAACGGTGGAACGTGTATACTGATCACAATAAATAGACACGGCACTTAAATCGAACAATGCGTCTGGGTATATGCGATACCACTTTCGTATACATAAAATAATACTCTTAAGAGTATTGTATGTACATATAATATATATAGAGGTATACACTTATATACTTCGACAATTGAAGAACTTTAGTTCCGCACTCGGCACAGAAAATGTTGTCACCAATATCAATTATTAAACAACAACTAGATCAAATTGTTCACAATTTATTTTATAAGAAAAGAAGCAAAACTCGTACGCAACAAAAACCAAAAATAACCAGTTAAGGTTTACGTCGAAAACGGAACAGAAAAAATACACCAGATAAGGTGTACGTCGAAAACGGAACAGAACGCAATATACGTAATCCATATTCGGCGTCGGCCTTATATCAGTGTCAAGGGCGGGGAGACAACCGATTGTCATATTAATAGCTGGACGGCTGATATCGAGAGAGACGCGGGTGAGCGCCAACCTAGAGCAAATGGCGGTGCCGTGTCAACTCCCCCCCACCAAACCGTCAGTCTATCTCTTGATCCGGCCAGTTTTTGTAAACAAATTGTCACATCATACACAGTAGATATAAGTAATAAACAATTGTTGACTTACCGCCATATTTCTTGTATGTATGGTCATTGATAATGCGTTCAAGACTTACCGTATTAGACTGAAACCTTCAGTCTCGTTGGCAAGAGGGAAAGGACTATTCGGTCTGGTCATCCGTAATCTACGGATGTATTATCCGACGCTCTCGTTGTCGGTGCGTCCACCAGATTGTCGTCGAGTAACTCTTCGTCAACAGGGGGCCCCGCGGTCGGATAACGTGACAACATGTCCGGTCCTTCGTTGTGTTTCCCGGGTACATGTGTCGTTGTAAAATTCAAATTACCTAGATGCAGCGCCCACCTAGTTAATTTTGAATTGTCCTTTGCTCTGTGTAGCCAAGTCAACGCGAAATTATCCGTAATTAATTCGAACGGAGAATACTCTAAGTACGGGCGAAATTTATCAGTCGCCCATATAATTGCTAAGCATTCTGGTTCTACGGCGGCGTAACGTTTCTGCGTTTCTGAAAGTTTCTTACTGGCGTAGGATATGATTCTTCTTTCTCCCGGTTCATTTCCGTGTTGAAAGAGTATTGCTCCCACGCCCATTTCACTCGCATCGGTTAGAAGGCAGAAAGTTTTCGCGTAGTCAGGAGGACTCAGTCGTGGGGACTCACACAGGGCCTTTTTAACACGCTTATATTAGTTTCACCTGTATGTATGTATGTATGTATGTATGTATGTATGTATGTATGTACGTTTGTAACTCTCAAAACGCCACGCGTTATCGCATATTCCGTCGTCTAGACTAGACTGTCATAACGCATTCACCCCACCCCACGCCGGCAATACTATTCCTGTATAAATTTATTTTTGGTTATCGTACCCGTACACACGTGCGTGTCATCAATATTATATATATATAAACAAATTTTTATTTTGACTGACCATTATCATCCGCGTGCATACGGCTTACGTATATATTCCTACCGCCGTTTATACCTCAGGTTTAACGTTAGTCTGACCCGTCCGCCCACAAAACACGACTATACCTAATGCATGATACGTTTACGTACTTAAGTCGCTTTACTTGTATATATATATATANAAAATATGGCATAAAGCACCCACGCTTTTTTTCACAATAATACTAGTATTTTTCGTTCATTATTGTTTTAAGTTAATTTTAAAAATTATTTTTAACTTTTTAGTTCGATGTGCTTTAAAAGCGTGTTTTTTAGTTTTTTTAAACTATATTTATTACCTGTTCAAAAGCCCTTTTATGTTCTTCCGTCCACTACCATTTCGTCCCCCTTTTTAGTAGATTTGTCAGCGGCGCTATTGTTTCGGCGTAGTTGTCGACGAATTGACAATACCAATTAAATATGCCGAGACATCTACGTAGGTCCCTGATATTCCGTGGGACCGATAGGACGCGGATGGACTCGAGTTTTTCGGGCTGCTTGTCTATGCCCTTACCGTGTACAATATGGCCCAAAAAGGAAATTTCGGAAAACCCTATTTTACACTTTTTTGTGTGACATGTCAGCCCGTGTCCCTCTAATCGTTCTAGAACTTTGCCTAAATGTTCTAAATGATTATCTAAACTACTTGAATAAATAATTATATCGTCCAAGTAAACTTGGACAAAATCATCTAGATATCCTCTAAGTACTTCATTCATAAGTCTTACGAAAGTCATAGGCGAATTTTTGAGTCCAAACGGTAGTACACGAAATTGAAATAAGCCCCTTTGTTATAAATTATTGTAATTATTTAGAAAATAAGTACACGCAGGTCACATGATTTTCATACTTATATTTTATTTAACGAAACTTATTTAACCTTTAACATTAATATTGATAAGCAATGATACAGTGATGCCACACATCACGACACCCTTTTTATTCTAAATGCCGTAAACTTACGGGATTTTTGATTTAACGAGCATTGCCAATAACCCGACTTTAAGTCGAGAGTCGTGTACATTTTTGCCCCTCTCATGTTCCTAACCATGTCGTTTAGATTAGGCATGGGGTACGCGTCCGAAACGGTTACTTCGTTTAGTCGTCGGTAATCTATACATAAACGAAAAGTCCCGTCCTTCTTCTTGGCCAGCACTATCGGTGCTGACCACGGCGATACACTCGGTTCTATTAGCCCCTGCGCCTCCATGTCGTTTACCATATCGTCAATAACCTCCTGCTTGTGCAGAGGGTAGGGGTACGGTNGCTTATGCAGGGGGTAGGGGAACGGTTTTAGTGCGATAGGAGTCGGGTATTTCAATAGAATGTCGTGCTCGATTAATTTTGTGCGACCCACCGTGTCGTTAAAGACCGCTGCGTAATTACATATCGTCTGTGTTAATAACGCGCGCGTTCGTGGGTCGCCGGTTATATCTAACTGCGTCAGATCTGGTTTGCGGATCGTGTGTCGTGCGCCCGATTTCCAACAAGCGGTTGTACGTTTCCTATTGCCTAAGTGTATTGTTCCTGCTGAGTAGTCCCAGGCGACTTTCTGATCAATCAGAAAATCATGGCCAAGTAATACGTCGCAATATAGGTCGTCTAAAGTAACCGCTGAAAAGCGCACTTCTAAATCCGCGATTTTGGCGGTAAACGTGGTGGTACCGTTCGTCATGGCGTTGTGTCCGTCCGCTAGTCTAACCGCGTCAGTGTGTCCTTTATAAACAGTTCCGTATTTATAAGCAATTACCGGTTTTACATACGATTTATGCGCCTGTGAGTCGAGTAGGGCTGTGACGAAGCCAGTTTCGAATTTTAACTTGACTGCTGGAGTATTAATTCTACGCGGGCATTTTCGTTGGCCATTACTCGGGTGGTTTACGGTTCGAACGGGGGGCAGCTGGTTCTTAACCGCGACGTCGGTTTGCCCACCGACAGTGTTAACTGCCATTAGTGGACTAGCCGGATCGACTGACACCCCCTCCCCCACTGTGCCCGAAAAAATTTCGAACACCTGACTCGCGCTTTGTTCGTTCGTGTCGGCAGCGTGTTCGAACTCCGATACCCTGATTACATCCGAATTTACCGCGGCGTCCCCTCCATTCCGATAAGAGGGGTGCGGTGCCGAAAAAGTGCCAAGATCGTTGGCGGTATGTAACTCGTAAGGGCCGTTAGATTCGGTGTTCTGC